ACAAAGAGAAATCAAAACCTTGATTTTTTGTTTCCCTCAACTGCAAAACGGCGTCGTTTTTCGTCAAATCGGTCAAAAACCAATTGATTTTGGTCAACACAAAACCGAACCAAATCCCGTTAGCCACATGTAATCCACGTCACCACCTGTTAAAGGAAAACAGATTCTATCTGCGGTTTCGTGTAAATTGACCGATTTATAATAGATTATGGGGGAAATTCAAAATTATATAAAGTTCATGGGGGGGGGGGTTTAGCATATCTTAATAGATCACGTATGAATAAGCTGGAGCTCAGAAGTTCATGGAGAAATTGGCCTTTTTCCTGGATAATGACAGATATAATCTAATATCCGACCAATGACAGATATAATCTAATATCCGACCATGCAGAAAACTACAAGCAACTAAAAAGTATTTCTACTGTTATTTAGCAAGAAATATAAATGAAAAACAATGTCACTGACATATTGGTCTTCCTCCAACTTATCAATGCTTTAGCTGATAATAACCGGGAAACAAACAACAACTATATCAAATGAATAAGAAATGGGACAAGAGAACATACATGTCGTTAATCACTAATAATCATGACAACTGCAATCTCCGGCTTTCATGTGGTGAAATCTATTTTTATCCAATATAATCAATTTTCTTCCACAAATCTGCGTCACAAGCTTGAATACATGATGACATTCGACACACGAACGAATGTTTTTGATAATGGATATGTCGAAGAGATGGAGAGTTAAGAACATAACGCTCGAATGCAATTTATTTGTTTTCTTCGTCGATGTCATGGAACACCAACCTTGTATCAGATACATACCCAAACTCTTTCCTCTCATGTGTGTTAAATCGGACCAGGTCTAACATATCAACTATTTCAGCACAGCGGTCTCCTAATTCTAAATTCCCATGTACTCTACACAAATGCATCAATGTTTTAAACACCAAAAACTGGCCCATACAAATTGCATATCTCATCTAAAGAGTTTCAAATCATAATCAATTTCTAAAATGTCRTATGGTTTCAAAATATATAGAATGAACAGAGTGACAGAGCTAATTTGATGTCCAACAGTGCAAGAAAAATACAGCTTAAAAAAGTATTGACATTAATCTCATACCAAAGCATCACAACCATCTTTTGTTTTTTTTCGTATGTACAAATAATACCTCTTAATATTAAAGCTGAYGTTAGACGAACGAGAGATAACTASTTAGTCTCTTTGACACTTATATGCACTCAATTTTATTGCTACTCTTTTACATGGACATAGAGACAAGGAAAGGTAATGAAATTATATATGTTAAAGATTGTAACATTGTTGAATTTTATTGTCCTAGTTCTAAGATTATGAGAGTTAAGTGTATACAGAAGATGTGGTAAACCATGCAAAGGCCATGTCTTACTACGGAACAGAGCTTAACAAACTCTTTGTAACGGCAGAGGGAGATAGTCACTATGCGGTGTTCGAATATGAGCATTCAAAAGTGGTTATCAGACGCACTCTGGTGTCTGATCCAATTTTCGAAGAATACACAAACCAGCTGAAGGCAAGTGAAAACTCTCCTCATGTTTTGCAAGTCAAGGAAAAAATTCAAGGCGAAATGTTCAACTATGTGGTATTTGAATACAGCTGCTGTACTTTAGAGGACGTTTTGAAGTTAATAAAGACATGAATTTTGGAACGCGATAAAGAAAAATCCTGGATACGTTCTGCACCGTGGAGAGAAATGAGGAAGGTATCACATCTTAGACTGAATATAATCAAGGATATAGTTAGACGCGTTGCTAGTATACATCGTAAGGGTATCATTCACAGAAGATTAACCACGAAATCTTTCGAGATTGTTTATCGAGCGCCACACGATGTGATTGCGAAAATCAATGACTTCGGATCAAGCAAATTGCTTGGTAACAAAGACTTTTTACTGTCTGAAAAGAGTATTTCTAGGTGGCCGGCCCCATAATAGATACGACCTGAAGAAAAAAGTTATCCAGTTGACACTTTTGCTCTCGGTTGCATTATATACTACGTTGTATACGTTTGGTGATCGAGATCGAGACATTGTCAGTAATGTCAAGAATAAAAAAGTATTGAATGAACAGTTACATAGCTAATTTGATGTCCAACAGTGCAAGAAAAATACAACTTAAAAACGTATTGCCATTAATCTCATACCAAAGCATCACAACCATCTTTTGTTTTTTTTTTATATATAATACCTCTTAATATTAAAGGTGACCTAAGACGAACAATAGGTAACTACTTAGTCTCTTTGACTGTTAAATGCACTCATTTTTATTGCTACTCTTTTACATGGACATTGAGACATGGAAATGTATTGAAATTATATATGTTAAAGATTGTAACATTGTTGAATTTTATTGTCTTAGTTCAAAGATTAATACTTTTTGTCTGCTAATCATCTCCCCTTATACTTGACAATCATCTCACACTATACTTGGCCATTGGTGTATTTGAAAAAGGAGATAAAGCATTAGATTAAATATAAAGAGGGGAAGCTTCAGTAGTGTAATGGTATGTTTACGATGTTGATATTTGTTAGTGTTATTTACATTACGTCAACTTTGGTTGAAAACATACATATATTTTGGAACAGGTGTTGAAAGAGATGGGTCAGCAATTTAAATTCTGGTTAAATATAATAGTAGCATTTGGTTGGTGAAGAGGTAGTTATGCTCTTTATTTTCAAGAAATTTGAGCATGTCATGCAGCTACGTGATTTGAATGGGGAGTTGAAGTTGTTTCTGGAGATTTATAAACGTGAATCCACTTATCCGAGGTAAGCACTATTATATGTAACAAATCATTTCCCTTCTGTGTGGACTAATATATACAAAAAATAAGCAATGTTATCCTGCATTTAACTAAATATTTCATCAGATGAGATTCTCTTTGGATGTTTTAGAGATTTGTTCATCATAATTTCTTAGCTGAACTATCTTCTTGTAGACAATAGGAAGTGCCTACGAGGACGTTGTACCACAAAACCAACAACTTTTGCTTACATAAAAGTGATGTCTATAACATCAAAGGTGTTTACACCAAACTCTTTGAGAACATTGTACCACAAAGCACTCGCGAAAGTGTCCAACATGCTCAGCAATTTTCGGACCTATCTAAACATATGACCGTCCGCACTGAAACTCTCAAAAATCAGTTTCTTCTTAGCCATTCACAGCTTCTTGGAAGCTAAACATGGAGCTGTGTGTGTGTGAACAATGATATCTCACGGTTCTTGTCTCTTGTGTCCTCTCTTGGCTTCTTCTTCATTGACGTTAAAAGAAGGTAACAATCAGCATGCCATTTTGATATTTGGCCCACCAAATCACAGAACAGAAGCTCTAATCTCGGATTTGGTGTGATATGGACCACATGGACTTGTTTCTCATATAGATAAAACATTAGATCTCTCTGTAATTATTACTCTCTTTATTGGTAAAAGTCATGAAGAATGTGATGTGACTAATCAGAGATTTTGAGGAACCATAGTGGGATTTTGATCATGTGATAGAGATCATAGGTAAGAATCTTACCACTTTTTAGGGTTTGTCTTGTGGATCCTTTTTGTTTGTTTGTAATTTGGAACATTTTGTTATCCAAAATTTAGGTTGCAATTGAATTTTTAGATGAATCTTTTTTTTTTTTTGTTGCATTCGTGCTTTAGTATTCTCATTTTTTTTCTTTGAAACATGATGTCGTAAATTTTGGCTCTTCCTACAAAAAAGTTTATAAATTATAATATGTAATCAAATGTGTTTTTCTACATCTTCGAGCCTTTAGAATCCTGCGAAGCATGATTCGAGATTTTACAGTCCTAAGTGGAAATTAGATTTTGGTGATGGATCTCCTCAAATGGCCTTATATTTAAGTGAATGTATTAGTGTTCTGATTATCATTGTAAAAAGAGTATATTATGTAGAAATAAACAAATTGCAGAACCTTATTTAGAAAACAATAAGGTGAAAATGTATTAAAAAATATTGGAACACGTTTAATTTGGAATGGAATAAGTATTTCCTCTCTATTGGTTTCTTTCATGTTCCTTTTCTCTCAAGACATGATCATTGGTCTATTGCCGCACACACTCTTTTTCTCTTTTTCTTTCTTTAAAAAATGGCTGAGATGTGAAAAAAAGAGTTA